CTAATTTCTTTAACATGGTTATCAGAGCAGTTTGGTCCTGGCCTGTGGGCCCGACCAAAGCTTCCGCTGCTGAATTTCTGGTCGCGCGCCTCGGGCACGTGACGTCTTTTTTTTTCTACCCGTCGCGGACCCGCCCCTGGCGCCCGCGACGGCGCTCTGAGGCGTCGCGGACCCGCCTCTGGCGCCTGCGGCGGTGCCCTGAGCCGTCGCGGACCCGCCTCTGGCGCCTGCGGCGGTGCACTGAGCCGCCGCGGACCCGCCTCTGGAGCCTGCGGTGGTGCCCTGCGCCATCGCGGACCCGCCCCTGGCGCCCGCGGCGGTGCCCTTGAGCCGCCGCGGACCCGCCATTGGCGCCTGCGACGGTGCTTTCCGCACCTGCATTCCCTGCAGCTCCCCCTGACCTACCTGCATCGACCCTATCTAGCCGCTCTGCGGCTTTCTTCCCGCCCACCCCCTCCTCCTTCATCTCCCTGCAGCCGTGGGGGGGAGGGTATGGGGGTGGCGGGTGTTGGAGTCGTGGGTCGTACCCTTCCCTTCCCCTCCTCCTCCTTTTGTTCCCACTGCTGCAGCTGCCGCTGGGGGGGAGGGTGTGAGGGTGTGGGGGAGCAGGGGGAGAGGCGCCGGGGTGACGGGTGTGAGGCAGCCAGCAGCCGTCCCTCCACCTCTCCTCTCTTCCCCCCCTCTCTACTGCTCCTGCAGCAGTGTGGGGGAGGGGAGGGAGGAGGGTGAGGTGATGGAGGGGGTGACCAGTTAGTGTCTGCCCGCCTGCAGTACCTGCTGTTGCTTGGTTATTATCTTGCTTGTGTTGCTTGTGTACCCCTGCAAGTTGTGTTCTGCACAAACTTCTGCTGCAGGCAGTTATGGGGGAGTGTCAGACTTTATATTATTTATATTTGTAACTGCCTGTAGCTGTAGTTAGTGTAGTTATATTTGTAACTGCCTGTATAGATAGGCGCCCATAGAGATAGGCGCCCCTAGAGATAGGCGCCCGTAGAGATAGGCGCCCCTAGAGATAGGCGCCCCTAGAGATAGGCGCCCCTAGAGATAGGTGCCCCTAGAGATGCGCCCCTAGAGATAGGCGCCCCTAGAGATAGGCGCCCTTAGAGATAGGCACCCCTAGAGATAGGCGCCCCTAGAGATAGGCGCCCCTAGAGATAGGCGCCCCTAGAGATAGGCGCCCCTAGAGATAGGCGCCCCTAGAGATAGGCGCCCCTAGAGATAGGCGCCCCTAGAGATAGGCGCCCCTAGAGATAGGCGCCCCTAGAGATAGGCGCCCATAGAGATAGGCGCCCGTAGAGATAGGCGCCCATAGAGATAGGCGCCCCTAGAGATAGGCGCCCGTAGAGATAGGCGCCCCTAGAGATAGGCGCCCCTAGAGATAGGCGCCCATAGAGATAGGCGCCCCTAGAGATAGGCGCCCATACAGATAGGCACCCTTAGAGATAGGCGCCCCTAGAGATAGGCACCCTTAGAGATAGGCGCCCCTAGAGATAGGCGCCCTTAGAGATAGGCCCTTAGAGATAGGCGCCCCTAGAGATAGGCGCCCCTAGAGATAGGCGCCCCTAGAGATAGGCGCCCCTAGAGATAGGTGCCCCTAGAGATAGGCGCCCCTAGAGATAGGCGCCCCTAGAGATAGGCGCCCTTAGAGATAGGCACCCCTAGAGATAGGCGCCCCTAGAGATAGGCGCCACTAGAGATAGGCGCCCCTAGAGATAGGCGCCCCTAGAGATAGGCGCCCCTAGAGATAGGCGCCCCTAGAGATAGGCGCCCCTAGAGATAGGCGCCCCTAGAGATAGGCGCCCCTAGAGATAGGCGCCCCTAGAGATAGGCGCCCCTAGAGATAGGCGCCCATAGAGATAGGCGCCCCTAGAGATAGGCGCCCGTAGAGATAGGCGCCCATAGAGATAGGCGCCCCTAGAGATAGGCGCCCGTAGAGATAGGCGCCCCTAGAGATAGGCGCCCCTAGAGATAGGCGCCCCTAGAGATAGGTGCCCCTAGAGATAGGCGCCCCTAGAGATAGGCGCCCCTAGAGATAGGCGCCCTTAGAGATAGGCACCCCTAGAGATAGGCGCCCCTAGAGATAGGCGCCCCTAGAGATAGGCGCCCCTAGAGATAGGCGCCCCTAGAGATAGGCGCCCCTAGAGATAGGCGCCCCTAGAGATAGGCGCCCCTAGAGATAGGCGCCCCTAGAGATAGGCGCCCCTAGAGATAGGCGCCCCTAGAGATAGGCGCCCATAGAGATAGGCGCCCGTAGAGATAGGCGCCCATAGAGATAGGCGCCCCTAGAGATAGGCGCCCGTAGAGATAGGCGCCCCTAGAGATAGGCGCCCCTAGAGATAGGCGCCCATAGAGATAGGCGCCCCTAGAGATAGGCGCCCATACAGATAGGCACCCTTAGAGATAGGCGCCCCTAGAGATAGGCACCCTTAGAGATAGGCGCCCCTAGAGATAGGCGCCCTTAGAGATAGGCCCTTAGAGATAGGCGCCCCTAGAGATAGGCGCCCCTAGAGATAGGCGCCCCTAGAGATAGGCGCCCTTAGAGATAGGCGCCCCTAGAGATAGGCGCCCCTAGAGATAGGCGCCCCTAGAGATAGGCGCCCCTAGAGATAGGCGCCCCTAGAGATAGGCGCCCCTAGAGATAGGCGCCCATAGAGATAGGCGCCCGTAGAGATAGGCGCCCATAGAGATAGGCGCCCCTAGAGATAGACGCCCCTAGAGATAGGCGCCCCTAGAGATAGGCGCCCCAAGAGATAGGCGCTCATAGAGATAGGCGCCCATAGAGATAGGCGTCCATAGAGATAGGCGCCCATAGAGATAGGCGCCCCTAGAGATAGGCGCCCATACAGATAGGCACCCTTAGAGATAGGCGCCCCTAGAGATAGGCGCCCATAGAGATAGGCGCCCATAGAGATGGGCGCCCCTAGAGATAGGCGCCCATACAGATAGGCACCCTTAGAGATAGGCGCCCCTAGAGATAGGCGCCCATACAGATAGGCACCCTTAGAGATAGGCGCCCCTAGAGATAGGCGCCCCTAGAGATAGGCGCCCCTAGAGATAGGCGCCCTTAGAGATAGGCGCCCCTAGAGATAGGCGCCCCTAGAGATAGGCGCCCCTAGAGATAGGCGCCCCTAGAGATAGGCGCCCCTAGAGATAGGCGCCCCTAGAGATAGGCGCCCATAGAGATAGGCGCCCGTAGAGATAGGCGCCCATAGAGATAGGCGCCCCTAGAGATAGGCACCCCTAGAGATAGGCGCCTCTAGAGATAGGCGCCCCTAGAGATAGGCGCTCATAGAGATAGGCGCCCATAGAGATAGGCGCCCATAGAGATAGGCGCCCATAGAGATAGGCGCCCCTAGAGATAGGCGCCTCTAGAGATAGGCGCCCCTAGAGATAGGCGCCCCTAGAGATAGGCGCCCTTAGAGATAGGCGCCCCTAGAGATAGGCGCCCCTAGAGATAGGCGCCCCTAGAGATAGGCGCCCCTAGAGATAGGCGCCCCTAGAGATGGGCGCTCATAGAGATAGGCGCCCATAGAGATAGGCGCCCATACAGATAGGCACCCTTAGAGATAGGCGCCCCTAGAGATAGGCGCTCATAGAGATAGGCGCCCGTAGAGATAGGCGCCCATACAGATAGGCACCCTTAGAGATAGGCGCCCCTAGAGATAGGCGCCCCTAGAGATAGGCGCCCCTAGAGATAGGCGCCCTTAGAGATAGGCGCCCCTAGAGATAGGCGCCCCTAGAGATAGGCGCCCCTAGAGATAGGCGCCCCTAGAGATAGGCGCCCTTAGAGATAGGCGCCCCTAGAGATAGGCGCCCCTAGAGAAAGGCGCCCCTAGAGATAGGCGCCCCTAGAGATAGGCGCCCCTAGAGATAGGCGCCCCTAGAGATAGGCGCCCCTAGAGATAGGCGCCCCTAGAGATAGGCGCCCCTAGAGATAGGCGCCCATAGAGATAGGCGCCCGTAGAGATAGGCGCCCATAGAGATAGGCGCCCCTAGAGATAGGCGCCCGTAGAGATAGGCGCCCTTAGAGATAGGCGCCCCTAGAGATAGGCGCCCCTAGAGATAGGCGCCCATAGAGATAGGCGCCCCTAGAGATAGGCGCCCATACAGATAGGCACCCTTAGAGATAGGCGCCCCTAGAGATAGGCGCCCCTAGAGATAGGCGCCCCTAGAGATAGGCGCCCTTAGAGATAGGCGCCCCTAGAGATAGGCGCCCCTAGAGATAGGCGCCCCTAGAGATAGGCGCCCCTAGAGATAGGCGCCCCTAGAGATAGGCGCCCCTAGAGATAGGCGCCCCTAGAGATAGGCGCCCCTAGAGATAGGCGCCCCTAGAGATAGGCGCCCCTAAAGATAGGCGCCCATAGAGATAGGCGCCCCTAGAGATAGGCGCCCCTAGAGATAGGTGCCCCTAGAGATTGGCGCCCCTAGAGATAGGCGCCCCTAGAGATAGGCGCCCCTAGAGATAGGTGCCCATAGAGATAGGCGCCCCTAGAGATAGGCGCCTCTAGAGATAGGTGCACCTAGAGATAGGCGCCCCTAGAGATAGGCGCCCCTAGAGATAGGCGCCCATAGAGATAGGCGCCCCTAGAGATAGGCGCCCCTAGAGATAGGTGCCCCTAGAGATAGGCGCCCCTAGAGATAGGCGCCCCTAGAGATAGGCGCCCCTAGAGATAGGCGCCCCTAGAGATAGGCGCCCATAGAGATAGGCGCCCCTAGAGATAGGCGCCCCTAGAGATAGGCGCCCCTAGAGATAGGCGCCAATAGAGATTGGCGCCCCTAGAGATAGGCGCCCCTCGAGATAGGCGCCCCTAGAGATAGGTGCCCATAGAGATAGGCGCCCCTAGAGATAGGCGCACCTAGAGATAGGCGCCCCTAAAGAAAGGCGCCAATAGAGATAGGTGCCCCTAGAGATAGGCGCCCTGAGAGATAGGCGCCCCTATAGATAGGCGCCCCTAGATATAGGCGCCCATAGAGATAGGCGCCCCTAGAGATAGGCACCCCTAGAGATAGGCACCCCTAGAGATAGGCGCCGCTCCGTAGACGAACACGTAGCCTCCCGTGCTCGTCCGGTTCTGCTTGTCGCCCGCGTCGTCGGCGTCGACGTAGCCGATCAGCTCCAACGATTCTGGTTCACCGCCGAACTCCAGGGCGGTGTCGCGGGTGTCGGCGAGGAAGGCGAGACAACGGTCGACCTCACGCCAATGCTGGTCGCTCCTCACCGTGAGGCCGCTTCCCAACTTGCTGCAGGCGAACGCAATGTCCGGCCTCGTCGTCGTCGCCGCGAACTGCAGCGAGCCGACCTTCTGTCGGTACTCCTCCTCTTCGCGCTCCTGAGCCTCCTCGTCGTCGAACGTCAAATGAGCGTAGGCGTCGACCGAGACCGGCGTCTTCGGGACTCGACCGCCTAGCTCCTCGTCGACGAAGCGCCTGCGCAGCTTGTCGGCGTAGCCCTGCTGGTGCAGCCACAACTTCCTGGCCGGCCTGTCCCGCACGATCTCCAGCCCAAGGTACTTTTCAACCGGCGAGATCTCACGCAGCTCGAAGGCGGCCTCCAGCAGCTCCTTCAGCTCGTTCAGCATCGCGGTGCTGTTGCTAGCGGCGAGCAGGTCGTCGACGTAGACCAAGACCCAGCAGGTCACACCGTCGTCGCCGGTCTTGAAGTAGAGCGCCTCGTCGACCTGGCTCTTCTTCCAGCCAGCGCCCAGCAGCACACCGTCAAGAGCCCTGTACCACAGCAGCGGCGACTGCTTCAGCCCGTAGAGGCTTTTCAGCAGCTTACACACCCGGCCGGTCCCGTCGTCGAAGTAGTCCGGCTGGTACATGTAGAGCACTCTGTCGAGCTTGCTCTGCAGGAAAGCGTTCTTCATGTCGAGCTGCATCAGGTTGAGGTCGAGGACGGCGACTATGCTGAGGAAGATCCTCAGCGTGACGTAGCTGCTCACCGGCGAGTACGTCTCGTCGTAGTCGGCGCCATACACCTGCGTGAAGCCCTTTACGACCAGCCTCGCCTTCTCGCGCTCGACGGTGTCGTCGATGCGGTACTTGGTCGTCAGCACCCATCGGTTCTTCATAATGTTCACCCCGCGTGGGCGTTCGACCAGCTCCCAAGTCCCCATAGCGATGAGGCTACGGATTTCTTCTTCCATGGCGACCTTCACCGCCTCGCCCTTCCCAGCTCGACAGCGCCTCCTTCACCGTCATCGTGGCGATGTCCCAGCGGTGTTCGGGGTCGGCATGCACGTCAGGGTCGAGCTCCGACAGGTCTTCATCCTCCTCGGCATCGTCGTACAGCAGGTTGTCGTCGACCTCGTCGTACACCGTAGTGAAGGCAGCAGGCGGTAAGCAGGCGTGAAAGCTCAACCGCTCCGGCGGCCGTCGAGCTCGACCTGAGCGTCGCAGCTCAGGCTTCGTGATCGGCACTTCCATCACGTCGCTGTCGGTGGACTCCCCCGCCGATAGCTCCCCTTTCGTTTCAACTAGAACGTCGTCGACCAGCTGCTTCGACCCTTCGACCGGCTGTTCCTCTGCTGCTACCTTCGACAATTCTCCTGTCGACCGCTCCGGCTGCCGCTCCCCTATCGAGTGTACCTTTGCCGATGGCTCCTGTTCGACCGGCTCCCCTGTCTTCGACGGCTTTCCATCGTAGTCGTCGAGCTTGGCGCCTTGTCGTCCGCCGGCGATGCCACTGGCCGGCGCCACAGGCGACGCCTCCAGGCTCCCCTCATCGTCGGTGGCCGACACAGGTGTCGGCGCAGGCAGATCGGCGACGGGAGACGGAGGAGCAAGAACAGGGGAGGGTGGAAGGACCTCCACAGCATCTTCATCAGCAGGCTCGTCGACTTCGGCGAGCAGGGGAACCGTCGCCGTCGAGGTGTCCGTCGGCGGGTGCGCCTGCGTCCGCTCCGACGCCGGCCCATACTTCGCCTTCCACACTTCCAGCGACAGCGTCTCATAGAAGATCACCTCGACCGACGTGACCATCTTGTTGTCGGTCAGGTCGAGCACCTCCCAGCCCTTGCTCGCTGGCGACACACCCAGGTGAAGTCCCCAGCGAGCCTTCGGCGCCAGCTTTCCACCTCGTTGCTGCTCGGGAACCATGAACTGCACCATGCAGCCCCACACTCGCGCCAGCGTAAGGTCGGGCTTCTGTCCGGTCAGCAGCTGGTACGGAGTCGTCCCCGGCGGCGTCGTCGACCGCTCCAAGCAGTTGCGCACCCAGACAGCTTGCCGTAGAGCCAGGTGCCACCAATGGTGCTGCACGCCCATGTGCAGCAACATCGTCCGCACGGACTCGACGGCCGTACGCATCTCCCGCTCGGCCATGCCATTCTGCTGCGGAGTGTAGGGGCACGTTAGGTCGTGGACGATGCCCTTCCCGTCGACGAAGTCGGTGACCGCCTTCCCGAGGAATTCCCCCCCTCGATCGGAGCGAAGCGTCAGAACCGACTTCTTCGTCTGTCGTTCCACAAGCACCAACCACTTCTCGAACTCCCGCAGCACGTCGCTCTTCTTAGCGACCGGCATCGCCCATACAAATCGAGTATGGCGATCCTTCAGCAGCAGGAAGTACAAGCTGCCATCCTTGGCAGCCACCCGAAATGGCCCGCACAAGTCAATGTGCACGACAGCCAGCGCCTCCGCTGCATCCGAGCCCTTGGCGGGGAAGGTGTGCCGCGCCAGCTTTCCTCCGACGCACGAGACACATGGCGGGTCTGCTCCGGTTGACAACGTGATGTCGAGCCCAGTAGCCACACCATGTTTTGCCGAGCTCTTGATCGTGTCGACGTTGACGCGGGCAAGCCGCGCATGCATCCTATCGGGGGTCGTCTTAGTCGCCGAGGTGATCGTCCGCAGAGCCACCACCTCGGTCGACTGCAACTGCGTCGGGCAGGGGCGAAGGTCGGTGCAGAGGACTCGTCCGATGTAGTGTGCTCGACCAAGCACCTCTCCAGTCGCGTCGACGAGCAGCATCTCATCGCCATCGCCCTGCAGTAGCACGCCGCTCTCCTTCAGCTGGCTAGCAGACAACAGGTTTGCCTGTACGCCTGGAACGTAGAGTACGTCGGGGATGAGAACTCGCTTCCCGGCCTCCCCTTGCAGAGCGACGGTTCCGCGACCCTCGACAGGCTGCAATGCCCCGTTGAACCCACGCACATGCTTCACCCCATCGCTCGGCCCCATGTCAACGAAGACCGATTTCGTCCCCATCAGGTGGTGGGAGCACCCGCTGTCGAGCAGCACCGCCATCGGGTTGGCCTGCACAGCTGCTGCCACCGCCTGGAAGTCCTCGCCAGCCTCCGGTGCTAGCGAGACCATCGGCTCCACTACGCCGACCATCGAGCACGACGCCTCCCCGTCGCCTCGGTTCTTGCCGCTGGAGCTGTCGACGTCCTTCGTTGAGGGCGTTTTCTTCGACGCTTGCTTCTCCTTGCGCGGCTTCTTTGCTCGACGGGGGCGACGACTGGTCGATCGACCGCGGCCTTCCTTGTTGTCGTCCTCGTCGCTCTCATCGCGGTCGGGGCACTCGAAGGAGAGATGGTCAGGGTCGCCGCAGACCCAGCACTCCCGCCGTCGACCACCACCTCGTCGACCCTTGTCGCGCGTCGACCTCGTTTCGTCGACGTCCTTCGTCGACCGCCCACCTCCGCTACCACTTCCGCCCGGCTTCCTGCGCTGCTCCCGCTGTGTATTCGACTTCGTCGGTGCGGCGTAACTCGCCTGCGGAAGGAACTCCGTGGGCTGCTCTGCCTCCTGCATCGCCTCATCCTGGAGAATGTAGCTGGTGATGGAGTCTTCGTCGAGGGACTCACGCGTGCCGGGCACCATCATCATCCTCTTCATGAGATTGTAGTTGCGCGGCAAGCCCTTGAAGATGTGGGTGATGTAGGACGCCGTCGAGTATTCGGCGCCTGCCATTCGCATTTCAGCCAGGATCCGTCGAGCACGGTTGCAGTAATCCGTCGCCGACTCCTGCTCGCCCATCCAAATGTGGGTCATCTTCTCTTCCAGCTGCCCGATGTACAGGTCGTCCCTGACCTGATACGTCGATATGATGAAGCGCCATGCCTGGTGACCAGCATCCAGTCGCTCTCGACAGCTCCTGAGCGCCAGAGTACCACCGGCGAGCAGCACCTCGAGATGACCATGAAGGTGAGCAGGTGAGCAGAACGAAACTCCCCGCGCAGCCCGACATCCTCCTCGGGCGGAATTGGCACGGTGCCGTCGGCGAAGCCCTTCAGCCCGGCGACCTCCAGCTGAGGTTCGATCGACTCCCTCCAGGTGATGAGGTCCCGTCGACCTTGCAGCGGAGCGACGGTGATTCGATCCGGCGAAAAATTGAAATAGCCATACGCCGGTGCAATCCCGCCCGCCGTCACATGCGTCGTCGCCGAGAGCCCACCACCACTTCGTAGAGGAGAGCGACGTCGAACATCGACGTCGGCGTGCGAGCTGCGTGCAGCCGCCGTCGACCGCTGCACTCGCGCCTGGATTCCGTCGACACCACCGTCGACCTTGATCACTCCTCTATGCCTCGTGCCTTCGCTGCCGCTGACTCGTGCACCACCGTCGACCTCGTCGTCGACGCCACCTTCGTTACGCACCGGTCGAGGAGAAGCAGGACGGGAAGGGTGTTCCGTCGCCCACTACGACCGGATGCCCAACTCGGCGATCACTAAGGGGATCGTCCCGTACTCGCCATTCGCGTGGCGTCTCCTTGCGTCAGCCAAACGTGTCTCCAAAGTGTCAGCTACACCCGCACCAACTGCGAGGTCGACCATGGCGACTATCGTTGCTGCCGGCCTACGAACGACTTAGTAGGTGCAAAAGTCGGCTCCTATCTGAAGGTCGCGTGTTCGATCCACGCTCACCGCACCATGCGGAGATTCACTCTACAACCGCAGTGAGCTAGACTACAGGGTTGGCACGAACTACTAGAGGTGATCTCCGCTTTGCTTGGTTCCTTAGTGCTTGCACATTCACAGGAGAAATTGGCAAGAGTTTCCACTAGCAAAGTTGGGAATTACAGAATTGAACAAAAGAAGCAATGACAACAATGACTACATCAGGCACCTAGCAACCCTGCAGCTAGCCTGGTCGACTGCCAGCGCAGCTCGGTCGACTGCCTGCCAGCATTGCGTAGAGGAGCCGCGCCAGCACTGCAGAAGGGCGACCTGCCGACAAGGCTAGTCGACGGCGTGCCCCGTAGAACACAGCAGTGCGCGCGCTCGCATGTGTGCGCAGGCGATTGGTCCGACTTGCCTCGTTGGGCATCCGTCGGCTGTTGTCTGCGCCTGACGAGCCACATCGACTTCGGGATACCAGCCCGAAGTCGCCTGCGCCATCGCGATCTCGACGGCATTCGCGTGCCTCCGCAGAAGTCGTCGAGCAGGTTACCCGGTCGACCTGGTCGACCCCTGGTGCTCTGGTCGACTCCCACGTGCCTCCCGTCGACCACTGGGTCTCTCTGGTCGACCACCGGATGCTCCTGGTCGACCACACCTCCCGTCATGCTACCCCTTGGTCGACGGACCCCTTCCGTCGACCAGAACTGCTCCGTCGACCTCCCGGTCGAACTGCAGTTCGACGGAATGCTCCGTAGACTTCCCCGTCGAACTGTAGGTCGACGGACTACTTCGTCGACCTCCCGGACGGCTCGCCCGTCGCCCAGGCCAGTCAGTTGCAGCTGTCGAGCATCCTGGTCGACAGCAACACCACAGCGGTCCGCTGCCGCTCGACGTAACCTGTCGCGCATCTATCCCACTGTGAAAAGTCGACTCCTACTCCCGTGCATCCGACCAAGTCGTCGGCGTTGCCCAAGCGAGGGCGGGGCCAACACTCCATTCCCGTTACACGCCTATCTCTCTAGGGGCGCTTATCTCTGTGGGCGCCTATCTCTAGGGGCGCCTATCTCTATGGGCGCCTATCTCTAGGGGCGCCTATCTCTAGGGGCGCCTATCTCTAGGGGCGCCTATCTCTAGGGGCGCCTATCTCTAGGGGCGCCTATCTCTAGGGGCGCCTATCTCTAGGGGCGCCTATCTCCATGGGCGCCTATCTCTATGGGCGCCTATCTCTAGGGGCGCCTATCTCTAGGGGCGCCTATCTCTAGGGGCGCCTATCTCTAGGGGCGCCTATCTCTATGGGCGCCTATCTCTAGGAGCGCCTATCTCTATGGGCGCCTATCTCTAGGGGCGCCTATCTCTATGGGCGCCTATCTCTATGGGCGCCTATCTCTAGGGGCGCCTATCTCTACGGGCGCCTGTCTCTAGGGGCGCCTATCTCTAGGGGCGCCTATCTCTAGGGGCGCCTATCTCTAGGGGCGCCTATCTCTAGGGGCGCCTATCTCTAGGGGCGCCTATCTCTAGGGGCGCCTATCTCTAGGGGCGCCTATCTCTAGGGGCGCCTATCCCTATGGGCGCCTATCTCTGTGGGCGCCTATCTCTGTGGGCACCTATCTCTAGGGGCGCCTATCTCTAGGGGCGCCTATCTCTAGGGGCGCCTGTCTCTAGGGGCGCCTATCTCTATGGGCGCCCCTAGAGATAGGGGCCCCTAGAGATAGGCGCCCATAGAGATAGACGCCCCTAGAGATAGGCGCCCCTAGAGATAGGCGCCCCTAGAGATAGGCGCCCATAGAGAGATAGGCGCCTATCTCTAGGGGCGCCCCTAGAGATAGGCGCCCCTAGAGATAGGCGCCCCTAGAGACAGGCGCCCCTAGAGATAGGCGCCCCTAGAGATAGGCGCCCACAGAGATAGGCGCCCCTAGAGATAGGCGCCCCTAGAGATAGGCGCCCACAGAGATAGGCGCCCCTAGAGATAGGCGCCCCTAGAGATAGGCGCCCCTAGAGATAGGCGCCCCTAGAGATAGGCGCCCCTAGAGACAGGCGCCCCTAGAGATAGGCGCCTCTAGAGACAGGTGCCCCTAGAGATAGGCGCCCCTAGAGATAGGCGGCCCTAGAGATAGGCGCCCATAGAGATAGGCGCCCCTAGAGATAGGTGCCCCTAGAGATAGGCGCCCCTAGAGATAGGCGCCCATAGAGATAGGCGCCCATAAAGATAGGGTTTAGGGTTTATCTCTAGGGGCGCCTATCTCTAGGGGCGCCTATCTCTAGGGGCGCCTATCTCTAGGGGCGCCTATCTCTAGGGGCGCCTATCTCTATGGGCGCCTATCTCTAGGGGCGCCTATCTCTAGGGGCGCCTATCTCTATGGGCGCCTGTCTCTAGGGGCGCCTATCTCTAGGTGCGCCTATCTCTAGGGGCGCCTATCTCCATGGGCGCCTATCTCTATGGGCGCCTATCTCTAAGGGCGCCTATCTCTAGGGGCGCCTATCTCTAGGGGCGCCTATCTCTAGGGGCGCCTATCTCTATGGGCGCCTATCTCTAGGGGCGCCTATCTCTATGGGCGCCTATCTCTAGGGGCGCCTATCTCTATGGGCGCCTATCTCTATGGGCGCCTATCTCTAGGGGCGCCTATCTCTACGGGCGCCTGTCTCTAGGGGCGCCTATCTCTAGGGGCGCCTATCTCTAGGGGCGCCTATCTCTAGGGGCGCCTATCTCTAGGGGCGCCTATCTCTAGGGGCGCCTATCTCTAGGGGCGCCTATCTCTAGGGGCGCCTATCTCTAGGGGCGCCTATCCCTATGGGCGCCTATCTCTATGGGCGCCTATCTCTGTGGGCGCCTATCTCTAGGGGCGCCTATCTCTAGGGGCGCCTATCTCTAGGGGCGCCTGTCTCTAGGGGCGCCTATCTCTATGGGCGCCCCTAGAGATAGGGGCCCCTAGAGATAGGCGCCCATAGAGATAGACGCCCCTAGAGATAGGCGCCCCTAGAGATAGGCGCCCCTAGAGATAGGCGCCCATAGAGAGATAGGCGCCTATCTCTAGGGGCGCCCCTAGAGATAGGCGCCCCTAGAGATAGGCGCCCCTAGAGACAGGCGCCCCTAGAGATAGGCGCCCCTAGAGATAGGCGCCCACAGAGATAGGCGCCCCTAGAGATAGGCGCCCCTAGAGATAGGCGCCCACAGAGATAGGCGCCCCTAGAGATAGGCGCCCCTAGAGATAGGCGCCCCAAGAGATAGGCGCCCCTAGAGATAGGCGCCCCTAGAGACAGGCGCCCCTAGAGATAGGCGCCTCTAGAGACAGGCGCCCCTAGAGATAGGCGCCCCTAGAGATAGGCGGCCCTAGAGATAGGCGCCCATAGAGATAGGCGCCCCTAGAGATAGGTGCCCCTAGAGATAGGCGCCCCTAGAGATAGGCGCCCATAGAGATAGGCGCCCATAGAGATAGGGTTTAGGGTTTATCTCTAGGGGCGCCTATCTCTAGGGGCGCCTATCTCTAGGGGCGCCTATCTCTAGGGGCGCCTATCTCTAGGGGCGCCTATCTCTATGGGCGCCTATCTCTAGGGGCGCCTATCTCTAGGGGCGCCTATCTCTATGGGCGCCTGTCTCTAGGGGCGCCTATCTCTAGGGGCGCCTATCTCTATGGGCGCCTATCTCTAGGGGCGCCTATCTCTAGGGGCGCCTATCTCTAAGGGCGCCCCTAGAGATAGGCGCCCCTAGAGATAGGCCCCCATGGAGATAGGCGCCCCTAGAGATAGGCCCCCATGGAGATAGGCGCCCCTAGAGATAGGCGCCCATAGAGATAGGCGTCCCTAGAGATAGGCGCCCCTAGAGATAGGCGCCCATAGAGATAGGCGCCTATCTCTAGGGGCGCCTATCTCTAGGGGCGCCTATCTCTAGGGGCGCCTATCTCTATGGGCGCCTATCTCTAGGGGCGCCTATCTCTAGGGGCGCCTATCTCTAGGGGCGCCTATCTCTAGGGGCGCCTATCTCTATGGACGCCTATCTCTAGGGGGGCCTATCTCTAGGGGCGCCTATCTCTAGGGGCGCCTATCTCTATGGGCGCCTATCTCTAGGGGCGCCTATCTCTAGGGGCACCTATCTCTAGGGGCGCCTATCTCTATGGGCGCCTATCTCTAGGGGCGCCTATCTCTATGGGCGCCTATCTCTAGGGGCGCCTTTCTCTAGGGGCGCCTATCTCTATAGGCGCCTATCTCTCTATGGGCGCCTATCTCTAGGGGCGCTTGTCTCTAGGGGCGCCTATCTCTAGGGGCGCCTATCTCTAGGGGCGCCTATCTCTAGGGGCGCCTATCTCTATGGGCGCCTATCTCTATGGGCGCCTATCTCTAGGGGCGCCTATATCTAGGGGCGCCTATCTCTAGGGGCGCCTATCTCTATGGGCGCCTATCTCTAAGGGCGCCTATCTCTATGGGCGCCTATCTCTATGGGCGCCTATCTCTAGGGGCGCCTATCTCTAGGGGCGCCTATCTCTAGGGGCGCCTATCTCTAGGGGCGCCTTTCTCTAGGGGCGCCTGTCACAGGATCGAATTCTCAATCGAAACTTGTCACTAAAACTGAATACAAGGCCTATTTATACTCGGAAAGTACAAGGATAAACGAGATAAAACGAACCTTCGGGAACACACCCTTCCCGATACTACAATCACAAGTGCGCATAAGCACGCAAGTCTATTGGCACTTGGGATTACGCCCAGATTATACCGTATACACCACTGTCGGCGCTGTCGGTGCCGTATAATAGGTATGTCGGTGGGAAAAGTAGGAAATAAGAGAAATAAATAGAAGGCTCTAGAAAATAGAATAGTAGGCCGATTGAGATGAGATAAAGACCAAAATAAAGAGGAGAAAAGGGAGAATGGGATAACGGAAAAATATAATAGTGAGAAAATATTATAACGGGGACGTCCTCTCACACTTCCCCCCCTCAAAGCTGGGTGGTAGAAGTAACACCCTGCTTGACAAGGTAGTCCTGTAGAGGACGGCGGGCGTTATCCATGTCGTGTTCAGGTACCCAGGTATCCTCGGAAGGATCATAGCCTTTCCAACGAATCAAGAACTCCAAGGTGCCGCTACGTCGTCGTCGGTGCGCCAGAACGGCTTCGACTTCGTACTCGGGTTCCCCATTAACGATCACTGGCAGTGGCGGCGGCGGCTGGCGACCTTTGAAGACCGTGTTTGGGTCCCGATAGGGCTTGAGAAGTTGAACATGGAAGGCATTGTGAATCCTCCAGGTAGCTGGTAAACGCAAGCGGAAGGTTACTGGAGTGACCCGCGCCTCGACGAGAAAAGGTCCGCAGAAGCGAGGTCGGAGCTTAGACGGAAGATGGCTAATGTCGAGATTGCGTGTATCCAGAAGCACCTGATCGCCAATCTGGATGGAATGATCGTTGCGACTCTGATCAGCGAGCTTCTTTTGTTGCTGCTGGATAGTCAGAAGACGTTTATGCGTGCGCTCCCACAATTGGTGCATAGTGGAAATGAAGTCATGTGCGGGTTGCACCGTGGCGGGTACTGTTGGTTTCTGAGGCGTGAGTGGGTTGCGACCGTAACAGAGGAAAAAAGGAGTTTGCCCTGTTGCGGCGTGCGTGGCGTTGTTGTACGCAAACTCGAGAACCGGCAGATGTGCATCCCATTTAGAGATATCGTCCTTACACGCTGCTCGCAGAAGCTGTTCGACAATCTGGTTGAGGCGCTCTGTCTGACCATCCGTTTGGGGATGATAGGCTGATGACATGGCGAGTTTGGTCCCCATAAGCGACATGAGCTCCCTCCAGAATTTACTCGTGAATTTCGGGTCTCTGTCGGAGATCAGCGTGGTTGGAATGCCATGTTGCGAGATGACGTAGCGGAAGAATATTTGCGCTGTCTCCTCGACGCGAGCCGTTGTGTGTGTCGGAATGA